TGTGTGCGTGGGTGTACACGTGTGTGTGCATGTATGTGCGTGTGTACACGTGTGTGTGTGTGGGTGTGTGTACACGTGTGTGTGCGTGTGTGGGTGTGTGTGTGTACACGTGTGTGTGTGTGTACACGTGTGTGTGTGTGTGTACACGTGTGTGTGTGTGGGTATGTACACGTGTGTGTGTGTGGGTGTGTGTGTACACGTGTGTGTGCGTGTGTGGGTGTGTGTACACGTGTGTGTGCGTGTGTGGGTGTGTGTACACGTGTGTGGTGTGTGTACACGTGTGTGTGTGTGTGTACACGTGTGTGTGCGTGTGTGGGTGGGTGTACACGTGTGTGCGTGTGTGGGTGTGTGTACACGTGTGTGGTGTGTGTGGGGGTGTGTACACGTGTGTGTGCGTGGGTGTACACGTGTGTGTGCGTGTGTACACGTGTGTGCGTGTGTGGTATGTGTACACGTGTGTGTGTGGCTGTGTGTACACGTGTGTGTGCGTGGGTGTACACGTGTGTGTGCATGTATGTGCGTGTGTACACGTGTGTGTGTGTGGGTGTGTGTACACGTGTGTGTGCGTGTGTGGGTGTGTGTGTGTACACGTGTGTGTGTGTGTACACGTGTGTGTGTGTGTGTACACGTGTGTGTGTGTGGGTATGTACACGTGTGTGTGTGTGGGTGTGTGTGTACACGTGTGTGTGTGTGTACACGTGTGTGTGCGTGTGTGGGTGTGTGTACACGTGTGTGTGTGTGGGTGTGTACACGTGTGTGTGTGGGTGTGTGTACACGTATGTGTGTGCGTGTGTACACGTGTGTGTGTGTGGCGTGTGTGGGTGTACACGTGTGTGGGTGTGTACACGTGTGTGTGTGTGTGTGTACACGTGTGTGTGTACACGTGTGTGTGAGTGTGTACACGTGTGTGTGTACACGTGTGTGTGAGTGTGTACACGTGTGTGTACGTGTGTGTGTAGCTTAATGGGGAGCGGTGGTGCAGCGGTTAGCGCTACGCCGCGCTATGAACCCGGCAACCCGAGTTCGATTCCCGCTCTCGGCCACAAACACCACCAGTGACGATTATCTGAACCGGTCCTGGGCCTCCCCTAGGTCGACTCAGCCTCAAAATAAGAACCCGGTGCGGTGTGTAGTAAACATCGCCACTGGGGAGACAAAGGCGGCCGGGCGTGGCGCTGGCCACCCACCCCCTCGTGTGCCGTGCCGGCCTTCATAGGTGCTCGCTAACAGCACTTGCCCCTGCAGTTATGTTAAGGCTACACGGGGGATCTTTGTCTTTGCATTCACAAGAAGCAGTGACGCAGGCTCTGTGTGTGGCAGTGAGAGTCCCTGGCTGTACCAGGTGCTATAGGCTCGGGGAAACCCCCGGTCCCACTATTTCCCCCCTCTCTTTCTCAGTGATGGTTCATGATCTCTGTGAGGGCGTTATCTACAGACTCCAGACCGCCCGTGTCTCTCTCTCTCCCGTTCCCTCTCCCCCACTCACTCTCTCTCCCTTCGCTCTATCCCCACCCCCCTACTCTCTCTTCCTCCCCCCTCTCTTCCCATCTCCCATACCCCCCCATCTCCCATACTCCCCCCCTACTCTCTCCCGTCCCCCCCTCTCTCCCCCATCTCCCATACCCCCCCCCATCTTTCTCCGTCTCTCCCCCCTACTCTCTCCCCCCCTCTCTCCCCCATCTCCCATACCCCCCCCCCCATCTCTCTCCCATACCCCCCCCCACTCTCCCCCCCCACTCTCCCCACTCTCCCCCCCACCCACTCTCCCCCCACGCTCCCCCCCCACTCTCCCTCCCCCCACTCCCCCCCCCCCCACTCCCCCCCCCCCCACTCTCCCCCCCCACTCTCCCCCCCCCACTCTCCCCCCACTCCCCCCCCCCCACTCTCCCCCCCCACTCTCCCCCCCCACTCTCCCCCCACTCCCCCCCCCCACTCTCCCCCCCCACTCCCCCCCCCACTCTCCCCCCACTCTCCCCCCCCCACTCTCCCCCCACTCCCCCCCCCACTCTCCCCCCCCACTCCCCCCCCACTCTCCCCCCACTCTCCCCCCCCCCCACTCTCCCCCCACTCCCCCCACTCTCCCCCCCCACTCTCCCCCCCCCCACTCTCCCCCCCCCTCCTCTCCCGTACTCTCGCGAGAGAGGAGTGATGGGGGAGAGTCCTCGCTCTCTCTCTCTCGCTCTTCCTGCCTCAATTAAGCCCCCCCCCCCATAACAAAGACCCATGCATAGCCAGCAACAGCAGCAGCAACAACAACAACAGAAACAGCAACAGCCGCAACAACATTAGCAACAGCAGCAACATTAGCAACAGCAGCAGCAACAGCAACAACAGCAGCAGCCAACAACAGCAACAACAGCAGCAGCAACAACAGCAGCAGCAACAACAACAGCAGCAGCAACAACAGCAACAACAACATTAACAACAGCAGCAGCAGCAACAACAGCAGCAGCAGTAACAACAACAACAACATTTAACAGCAACAGCAACAACAACAGCAGCAACAACAACATTTAACAGCAACAACAACAGCAGCAACAACAACAGCAACAACAACATTTAACAGCAACAACAACAGCAGCAACAACAACAGCAACAACAACATTTAACAGCAACAGCAACAACAACAGCAGCAGCAACAGCAGCAGCAGGCGGTGGTTGCTGCTGTTGTTGTTGCTGCTGCTGTTGCTAATGTTGTTGTTGCTGCTGTTGTTGCTGCTGCTGTTGCTAATGTTGTTGCTGCTGCTGTTGCTGCTGTTGTTGCTGCTGTTGTTGCTGCTGCTGTTGCTGCTGATGAAAGTCGTCGCACACAAAAGGCAAAGATTCCCCCAACCCCCTCTCCCCGTGTAGCCTCGACAGACTGTTGGGGCAAGTGCTGCGAGCGGGCCGGCACCGTGGCATACGAGTGGTCAGGACCACGCCCGGCCGCCTTTGTCTCTCCCAAGTGGCGACCGCAACCAGGTCCATCATTTGAGGCCGAGCCGACCTAGGGGGCGGCCAAGGACCGGTGCAGAAAATCGTCACGTGGTTTCTGGCGGGCCTCTGCCGGGCTCGTAGCGCTGCTGTCGCATCTACAACACAAAGACAAAGGTCCCCCGTGTAACCTCAATAACCCGTCGGGGGGCAAGTGCAGTTAGCGAGTAGGGGGTCATCCACTACGTACGCATGGAGGGGGGGAGGGGGGGATCTGATGAAGCCTCGATCATAATTTGTCTACATTGGCCTTCAAATGAGTACGATAGCCCGGCTGTGGACTTCTCTGTCTGCTGAAACACGTGAATATTATTCATCCTTGATGGTTTCTGCGTGGATTACATATCGGCCCTTCTAGAGGATTCGGGGGGGGTGTAAGAAGTCCGCGTGCGTACAGGGAGGGGAGCAGGGGTCAAATCGTGACAGATTTTCGCGTTCGCACTCAACGAATGGCCCCGTAGCACACACGTACACACACACACACGCACACGTGCACACACACACGCACGCACACGCACACACGCACACGCGCACGCACACACACACGTACACACACACACACGTGCGCACACACGCACGCACACACGCACACGCACGCACACACGCACACACACGCACACACGCATGCACACACACGCACGCGCACACACACACACGCACACGCACGCACGCACACACGCACACGCACATACACACGCACACACACACGTGCACGCACACACGTGCACACACACGCACGCGCGCGCACACACACACACGCGTGCACACACACACTCACGCACACACACACACGCACACACACACGCGTGCACACACACACTCACGCACACACGCACACACACACGCACGCGCACACGCACACACACACACGCACACACGCGCACACGCGCACACACGCACGCACGTACACACACGTGCACACACGTGCACACACACACGCACACACGCACACACATGCACACACGCACACACACACGCACACACACGAAGGCCCGCACCGTGGCACACGAGGGGGTGGGTGGCCAGCACCACACACACACACGAACACGTGTGTCCCTGTGCGTGTGTGCGTCGCACTCGTTACCCTAACGAGCTCCCCCATCAATCCAGGGGACATGATTTTAACAGCTGATGCCTCTAATGCACCGCTCACCGTCTCCCCCCCCACCCCTTCTCGCTCTTTGTCACCCCATCCCTCTGCAGCCCCCTCTCCCCTCTCTCCCATCTCTCTCCCATCTCTCCCCTTCCTCTCCCCTTACTCTCCCATCTCTCTCCCCTCTCTCTCCCATCTCTCCCCTCTCTCTCCCATCTCTCCCCTCTCTCTCCCATCTCTCCCATCTCTCTCCCATCTCTCCCCTTTCTCTCCCCTCTGTCTCCCATCTCTCGCTCCGCTCTCTCCCCCACTCGAGCCCGCCTTTGCTTCTCCCATCATAGTCGCCGGTGAACGGCTCAGTCCACGCGAGTCTGTAGGTGTCTGTGTGAGTCTGTGGGTCTCTATGAGTCTGTGGGTCTCTGTGTGAGTCTGTGGGTGTCTATGTGAGTCTGTGGGTGTCTGTGTGAGTCTGTGGGTCTCTGGGTGTCTGTGTGAGTCTGTGGGTGTCTGTGTGAGTCTGTGGGTCTCTGTGTGAGTCTGTGGGTCTCTGTGTGCCTCCATGCGTCTCTGTGTGAGTGTAGTGGTTAGCGCGCGGCGCTACGAACACGGCGGACCGAGTTCAATTCCCTGTCAAGGTTTGTAAACATCGCCACTGGGGAGACAAAGGCGGCCGGGCGTGGTGCTGGCCACCCACCCCTTCGTGTGCCGTGCCGGCCTTCGTAGGTGCTGCTCGCTAACAGCACTTGCCCCTGCAGTCTGTTAAGGCTACACGGGGGATCTTTGTTTGTTGAGTCTACGAAAGCGCTGCGGCTGGAGCTGCCACCCCGACTGGAACCCGGCTCCCAACGGCGCTGGGGGCCAACCAGCCCCGCCCCTACCCCCCTAACCCCGCCCCTCCCCCTAACCCCGCCCCTCCCGCGTGTGCGTGGTGCAGGTATGAGCCATGTGGCTCCGTCATCAACGCCAACGACGCCGATGACGTCATCGTCGTCGTCGTCGCTGGGTAACTCCAGGATGCTCGCCGTGCCGCCGCTCTCAGCCTCTCCGCTCGCGCTCACCGGGAATCCAACTTCCTCCACCACCGCCATCGCCGCCCCGGTGTCCGCCTGCATCGCCGGCTCGGCCACTCCGCTGAGCGGCGCGGCAGCGGCGAATGCTGGCAACCTCGGAGACGGCGCCTCTGCTAACCGCACGCCGCCTGGTGGCGCTGGCGGCGGTGGCGGGGGTGGAGGTGGTGGAGGTGGAGGAGGTGGAGGTGGTGGACGAGGTGCCAGTTTTGCAGCCGCGCTCCGGAAGTTGGCGCAGCAGGCCGAAGAGCCCCGAGGTGAGGAACTCGCGCCTCCCGGCGAGTTCGCCGCGGCGCTCGTGCCAGGCTAGGTGCGTCCCGCGGGGTTGGCCGGCTTGAGGTGACGGGCAGGTGGACCGCCCGTGCCACCTCGTAGCCCCCCGGCGCCGCCACTCGTCGTTGTGAGCGCAGCGATCCCCCCGGTGTAGCCTCGGCAGGCTGTTGGGGCAAGTGCTGTGGGTGAGTGGCGCACGAGGGGGGTGGGTGGCCAACAGCCCGGCCGCCTTTGTCTCCCTGGTGGCAATGTTCACGAGGCACCGCACCCCCGGGACTCGTTTGAGGGCCGGTTCAGATGATCGTCACCGGCGGTGTTGGCCGTGAGCGGGAATCGAACTCGGGTCTTTGCCGGGTTCGTAGCGCGGCGTAGCGCTAACCGCTGCGCCACCGCTCCCCACGCGCGCACACAAACACGTGTGCACACACACGCACGTTTACACGCGCACACTGACACACTCACGCTCACACACGTGCACACACACTCACAACACCCTCTCTCTCTCCCCAGGTTCCTCTCTCAGCTCGGAGTCTCCGGTGACGTCACCCTCGGCCCCTCCCCTCCCCCGCAGCCCCCCCTCCAGCCCCCCACCTCCAGCCCCCGTGGCCCCCCCCGCTCCTCCTCCTCCGCGCCTCCCCGTGCAGCCCCCCACGGCACCCCCCGTGGTCACCATCGCCCCCACGCAGACGAGTGGGGGGGCGCCCTGGAGGAGCGAGGCACGTGGGGTACGTACCCGTGTGTGCGCGTAAGTGTGTGTGTGTAAGTGTGTGCGCGTAAGTGTGTAAGTGTGTGTGCGTAAGTGTGTAAGTGTGTGTAAGTGTGTGTGTGTAAGTGTGTGTAAGTGTGTGTGTGCGTAAGTGTGTGTAAGTGTGTGTGTGTGTAAGTGTGTGTGTGTGTGTGCGTAAGTGTGTAAGTGTGTGTGCGTAAGTGTGTGTAAGTGTGTGTGTAAGTGTGTGCGCGTAAGTGTGTGCGCGTAAGTGTGTGTGTGTGTGTAAGTGTGTGTAAGTGTAAGTGTGTGTGTGTGTAAGTGTGTGTGTGTAAGTGTGTGTAAGTGTGTGTAAGTGTGTGTGTGTAAGTGTGTGTGTGTAAGTGTGTGTGCGTAAGTGTGTGGTAAGTGTGTGTGTAAGTGTGTGCGCGTAAGTGTGTGCGCGTAAGTGTGTGTGTGTGTGTAAGTGTGTGTAAGTGTAAGTGTGTGTGTGTGTAAGTGTGTGTGTGTAAGTGTGTGTAAGTGTAAGTGTGTGTGTGTGTAAGTGTGTGTGTGTAAGTGTGTGTAAGTGTGTGTAAGTGTGTGTGTGTAAGTGTGTGTAAGTGTGTGTGTGTAAGTGTGTGTGTGTGTAAGTGTGTGTGTGTAAGTGTGTGTAAGTGTGTGTGTGTGTAAGTGTGTGTGTGTAAGTGTGTGTAAGTGTGTGTGTGTGTAAGTGTGTGTAAGTGTGTGTGTGTGTAAGTGTGTGTGTGTAAGTGTGTGTGTGTGTAAGTGTGTGTGTGTAAGTGTGTGTACGTAAGTGGGAGCGTGTGTGCGCGTAAGTGTGTAAGTGTGTGCGCGTAAGTGTGTGTGTGTGTAAGTGTGTGTAAGTGTGTGTGTGTGTGTAAGTGTGTGTAAGTGTGTGTGCGTAAGTGTGTGTGTGTAAGTGTGTGTGTGTAAGTGTGTGTACGTAAGTGGGAGCGTGTGTGCGCGTAAGTGTGTGTGCGTAAGTGTGTGTGCGTAAGTGTGGGAGCGTGTGTGTGTAAGTGTGTGTGTGTAAGTGTGTGTACGTAAGTGTGTGTGTGTGTGCGCGTAAGTGTGTGCGCGTAAGTGTGTAAGTGTGTGTGCGTAAGTGGGAGCGTGTGTGTGCGTAAGTGTGTAAGTGTGTGCGCGTAAGTGTGTGTGTGTGTGCGCGTAAGTGTGTGTGCGTAAGTGGGAGCGTGTGTGTGCGTAAGTGTGTGTGCGTAAGTGTGTGCGCGTAAGTGGGAGCGTGTGTGTGCGTAAGTGTGTGTGCATAAGTGTGTGTGCGTAAGTGTGTGTGCGTAAGTGGGAGCGTGTGTGTGCATAAGTGTGTGTGCGTAAGTGGGAGCGTGTGTGTGCGTAAGTGTGTGCGCGTAAGTGTGTGTGCGTAAGTGTGTGTGCGTAAGTGGGAGCGTGTGTGCGCGTAAGTGTGTGCGCGTAAGTGGGAGCGCGTAAGTGTGTGCGCATAAGTGTGTGCGCATAAGTGGGAGCGTGTGTGCACGTAAGTGTGTGCGCGTAAGTGTGTGTGCGTAAGTGGGAGCGTGTGTGCGCGTAAGTGTGTGCGCGTAAGTGGGAGCGCGTAAGTGTGTGCACGTAAGTGTGTGCGCGTAAGTGGGAGCGCGTAAGTGTGTGCGCATAAGTGTGTGCACGTAAGTGTGTGCGCGTAAGTGGGAGCGCGTAAGTGTGTGCGCGTAAGTGTGTGCGCGTAAGTGGGAGCGCGTAAGTGTGTGCGCGTAAGTGTGTGTGCGTAAGTGTGTGCGCGTAAGTGTGTGCGCGTAAGTGGGAGCGTGTGAGCGCATAAGTGTGTGTGCGTAAGTGTACGCGCATAAGTGGGAGTGTGTGTGTGCGTAAATGTGAGCGCGTAAGTGTGAGCGCATAAGTGTGAGCGCGTAAGTGTGAGCGCATAAGTGTGAGCGCGTAAGTGTGAGCGTGTGTGTGCGTAAGTGTGAGCGCATAAGTGTGAGCACGTAAGTGTGAGCGCATAAGTGTGAGCGCGTAAGTGGGAGCGTGTGTGCGCGTAAGTGTGCGCGCGTAAGTGTGCGCGTGTAAGTGGGAGTGTGTGTGTGCGTAAATGTGAGCGCGTAAGTGTGAGCGCATAAGTGTGAGCGCGTAAGTGTGACCGCATAAGTGTGAGCGCGTAAGTGTGAGCGTGTGTGTGCGTAAGTGTGAGCGCGTAAGTGTGTGTGCGTAAGTGTGAGCGCGTAAGTGGGAGCGTGTGTGCGCGTAAGTGTGCGCGCGTAAGTGTGCGCGTTTAAGTGGGAGTGTGTGAGCACGTAAGTGCGTGCGCAAGCGGTAGTGCAGTGGTTAGCGCCACGCTGCGCTACGAACCCGGCGACCCGGGTTTGATTCCCGCTCACGGCCACCAACACCACCGGTGACGATTATCTGGGCCGGTCCTGGGCCGCCCCTAGGTCGACTCAGCCCCTACAGTCGCTTCAAGGCTGTATGGGGGAATCTTTGTCTTTGTGCTGCAAATAAACACACTGTGCCCGTGCGTGTGCGTGCGTGTGTGCGCGCGCGTGTGTGCCTGTGCGTGTGTGTGTGCGCCCGCCCGTGCGTTTGTGCAGCCGGATCTGTGCGCGCGTCTCCCCGGCGGCGGGACGACGCTCGCGGCGGCCTTGTCCGAGCCCGCGACGGAGAAGCAGGAGAAGCCGCCCCCTCACCTCCCGTCCACCGGCACAGCGGGTGGCCCCTCCCCCGCGGCGGCGTCATCGAGCGGCGCCCACGCGGCCCCCGCGCACGGCGCCCTGGGGCCCCACGCGCTGCCCGCCTTCGCACTCGCCGCACACGACGCTCACCTGTACGCGAGCGCGCTCGAGTGAGTGCCACGCACGCACGTGCACTCACTCACTCACTCGGTCGCTCACTCACTCACTCGCATGCTCACTCACTCACTCGCTCACTCACTCGCTCACTCACTCGCTCGGTTGGTCGCAAATCGCCGTCGGCAGGATGCTGCTGCTGCTGCTGCTGCTGCTACCGCTGCTGATGTTTATGGTGACGATGCTAATGATGCTGCTGGTGATGCTCCCGCTGCTGATGCTGCTGCTGCTGCTGCTGCCGCTGCTGCTGCTGAGGATGACGATCTTGCCACTGACGCTGTCTGTACCCCCCGCTCCGCAGCGCGTCGCGCATGCTGCACACCATGCTGCCCCCCCCGCCGGCGGGAGTGGGTCGCCCCGACGACTCCGCGAGGGGGTTCAGGCCATACCACGCGGGCGGCTCGGGCGGGGGGGGCGGGGGCGGCGGGGGGGGCCCCGAGGAGATGAGGCTGCCGGGGATGCCCCCCGCGCCCCACGGGGCCCCCCAGCACCCTGCGGCCGGGGCCCCCCACGCCCTGAGCCTGGACCCGGCCACCGTGGCGGCGTTCTACCACCCGGCGTTCCTGGCCCACCCGGCGTTCCAGTACCCGGCGTTCAGGTGCCCGCTGACTCACGCTGAGACACACACGGGCTGGCACAGATACCCATAGACTAACACAGAGACCCACAGACTGACATAGAGACCCATAGACTCACGCAGAGACCCATAGACTCACACAGAGACCCATAGACTGACATAAAGACCCATAGACTCACACAGGGACCCATAGACACGCACAGAGACCCATAGACTCACATAGGGACCCATAGACTCGCACAGAGATCCATAGACTCACACAGAGACCCATAGACTCACACAGAGACCCATAGACTGACATAGAGACCCATAGACTCACACAGAGACCCATAGACTCACACAGAGACCCATAGACTCACACAGAGACCCATAGACTCACACAGAGACCCATATACTGACATAGAGATCCACAGAATCACACAGAGACCCATAAACTGATATAGAGACCCATAGACTCACACAGAGACCCATAGACTCACACAGAGACACATAGACTCGCACAGAGACCCATAGACTCACACAGAGACCCATAGACTCACACAGAGACCCATAGACTCACACAGAGACCCACAGACTCACACAGAGACCCATAGACTCACACAGAGACCCATAGACTGACATAGAGACCCATAGACTCACACAGAGACCCATAGACTCACACAGAGACCCATAGACTCACACAGAGACCCACAGACTCACACAGAGACCCATAGACTCACACAGAGACCCATAGACTCACGCAGAGACCCATAGACTCACGCAGAGACCCATAGACTCACACAGAGACCCATAGACTGACATAGAGACCCATAGACTCACATAGAGACCCATAGACTCACACAGAGACCCATAGACTCACACAGAGACCCACAGACTCACACAGAGACCCATAGACTCACACAGAGACCCATAGACTCGCACAGAGACCCATAGACTCACACAGAGACCCACAGACTCACACAGAGACCCATAGACTCACACAGAGACCCATAGACTCGCACAGAGACCCATAGACTCACACAGAGATCCACAGACTCACACAGAGACCCATAGACTGACATAGAGACCCATAGACTCACACAGAGACCCACAGACTCACACAGAGACCCATAGACTCACACAGAGACCCATAGACTCACGCAGAGACCCATAGACTCACACAGAGACCCATAGACTCACACAGAGACCCATAGACTCACACAGAGATCCACAGACTCACACAGAGACCCATAGACTCACGCAGAGACCCATAGACTCACACAGAGACCCATAGACTCACGCAGAGACCCATAGACTCACACAGAGACCCATAGACTCATACAGAGACCCATAGACTGACATAGAGACCCATAGACTCACACAGTGACCCATAGACTCACACAGAGACCCATAGACTCACACAGAGACCCATAGACTCACACAGAGACCCATAGACTCACACAGAGACCCATAGACTCGCACAGAGACCCATAGACTCACACAGAGACCCATAGACTCACACAGAGACCCATAGACTCACACAGAGACCCATAGACTCACACAGAGACCCATAGACTCGCACACAGACCCACAGATTCACACAGAGACCCACAGACTCACACAGAGACCCATAGACTCACACAGAGACCCATAGACTCGCGCAGTGACTCATGCGGTGCCCGTGGTGACGATGACGATGGTGGTGATGGTGGTGCTGGTGCGGTAGTGATGGTGGCGGTGATGGTGGTGGTAGTGGTGGCGGTGATGACAATGGTGGTGATGGTGGTGATGGTGGTGGTGATGGTGGTGGTCCTGGCGGTGGTGGTGATGACAATGGTGGTGGTGGCGGTGGTGGTGATGATGGTGGTGGTACTGGTGGTGATGACGGTGGTAGTGGTAGTGGTTGTGGTGACAGTGGTGGTGGTAGTGACGATGGTGACGATAGTGGTGATGACGCCGACGGTGATGATGGTGACGATGGTGACGATGGTGACGATGATGAAGGTGACGATGATGATGATGGTGACTATGGTGACGATGATGACGTTGGTGACGATGGTGATGATGGTGACGATGATGACGATGGTGACGATGATGACGATGGTGACGATGATGACGTTGGTGACGATGGTGATGATGGTGACGATGGTGACGATGATGACGTTGGTGATGATGGTGACGATGATGGTGACGATGATGGTGACGATGATGACGATGGTGACGATGGTGACGATGATGACGATGGTGACGACGGTGACGATGATGACGATGGTGACGATGATGACGTTGGTGACGATGGTGATGATGGTGACGATGATGACGATGGTGACGATGATGGTGACGACGACGACGATGGTGACGATGACGACAATGGTGACGATGACGACGATATTGACGATGGTGATGACGATGATGATGACGATGGTGACGATGGTGACGGTGCTTTGCAGGCTGGACGACCCGTACTGCCTCTCGGCACTCCGCTCCCCGTTCTTCCCGCTGCCCCCGCTGCCCCCGCTGCCCGGAGTGCGCTGCTACCAGCCCGAGATGGCGGCGCCCGCCGGCATCGGCAGCAGCACGCCCAGCGCCGATCGGTGAGGAGCCACGGCTCGTGGGGGGAGGGGGGGGGGTGGGGGGGAGTGGGGGGGAGGGAGTGGGGGGGGGGAGTCCCTCCTGCAAGAGCGGAAGACTGGCACAGAGACTCACAGAGACACACAAAGATACACGTAGAGACACGTAGAGACACACAGACACCCATTGGGGTACACGGAGACACACGGAGACACACAGAGACACACAGAGACCCATCGGGGTATACGGAGACACACAGAGACACAGAGACACACAGACACCCATCGGGGTACACGGAGACACACAGAGACACACAGAGACCCATCGGGGTACACGGAGATACACGGAGATACACGGAGACACACAGAGACACACAGAGACACACAGAGACACACAGAGACACACAGAGACACACAGAGACACACAGAGACACACAAAGATACACGTAGAGACACGCAGAGACCCATTGGGGTACACGGAGACACACGGAGACACACAGAGACACACAGAGACACACAGAAACACAGAAATTTACATTGAGACACATAGAGACACGAACAGAAACACAAACATCTGTAGTGGTATAAGGAGATACATAGAGACCCACTCACCCACCAACTCCCACTCATGCACACACCCCCACCCACCCTACACACCCCCACCCACACACCCCCACCCTACACACCCCCACCCACACACCCCCACCCACCCACACACCCCCACCTTACACACCCCCACCCACACACCCCCACCCACCCACACACCCCCACCCACACACCCCCACCCACCCACACGCTGCACCCACTCTCTGAATGCTCACGAGTGTTCGTGGGCACCCTCCTGACCCCCACTCCCGCTGCGTCCCTGCAGGCTGCAGGCCGAGAAGGAGTCGAGGCAGCGGGAGATGGAGCGCGAGCGGGAGCGCGAGCGGGCGCGCGAGGAGCGCGAGAGAGAGAAGCAGCGCGAGAGGGAGCGGGAGCGCGAGCGGGGTGGGCACGGGGCGCTAGCTCTGGCGCTGGAGGGGCACGCGGCACGGAGAGACGGCGCCGCCACGGGGGCGGAGCGGGGGCAGCAGCAGCAGCACGACGGCAGCGGCGGCGGCGGTGCCGGCGTCGGCGCGGCGGCGGCGAGCGGCCGTGGTGAGTGCTGCCGGCTGCGGCGAGCGGCAAGCGGCGGCAATCCTTCGCCGTCACCTTCATTGTCATCTTGGACATCGCTGTCCCAGCGGCAGCGGCGGTGGCAGGATGTGTGTGTGTACGTGTGTGTATGTGTGAGTGTGTACGTGTGTGTGTGTACGTGTGTGTATGTGTCTGTAGATGTAAGCAAAAAGCCACGTGGAATGTTCGAACGCTCACTGCGGAGGAGAGGCTGCCACTCCTCTGTCGGGAGCTAGACCGGTACCGCCTGGATCTCTGTGGTATTCAGGAGGTCCGGTGGACCGGCTCTGGCTCCTGCCACCATGAGGGGTGGACAGTCCTCGACTCGGGGCAGGAGACTGCCAAACAACAGGGAGTGGCTCTTCTTCTGAACAAAAGAATGAAGGGGGCGTGGGAGCTTGGCTGTGAGGTGTGGGAAGCGGTAAGCCCCAGGATACTTTGGGCTCGCCTTCACATCAACCAGAGGCAAGGAGTGGTGGTCGTGGTTACTTATGCCCCCACTGAAGACGAATATCCGTGGAGGGATGCAGGCAAGGCCGATGAGTCAGATGCCTTCTATGACCTCCTGTCACAGGTGCTAGCTAAAGTGGCCCCACATTATTTAACATCTATTTTGACCACGTAGTTTGTGAAACCTTCGATGGCTGTATCAGGGCAATTTCTATCTGGTACAGATACAATGGGAGGCTGATCGATGCCAGGTGTGGTAAAGGGATGGCTCCCTATTGGTCAATAATTTTAAGTATGCTGATGATCTGGTAATTTCTGTCACTCAGAGGAGGAGTTGGAGGCGCTGCTGCTGAACCTGGAGTTTGCCACTAAGAGGTGGGGCCTTAGCATTAGCCCCACCAAAACTAAGCACCTGCCTGGGTATTTTGTACCATCAGACCCTCCACCCCCACAACTCCTAATTGGTGATGGGGCAGTTGTGGAGAGAGTGGAGAGTTTTCCATACATGGGCAGTGTGCTCATGACCGGCTCCGGTTTGACAGCAGAGGTCTCACTCCGAATCAATAGGCGTTATCTTTTCATCGGTTGCGTAACGCTGTGTGGAAGCTACCTGTTCTGTCACTCCACACGAAGCTTCAGGTCTTCTCAGCCACAGTCATGCCCTCCCTTCTCTGCGCTTGTGAAACGTGGACCCCCCTAATGAAACACCTTCGCCGGTTAGAAACATTTAGGCTGGCCTGCCTACGATCCAGCCTGGGTTTAACCAGGCTGGATTGTGTGAGGAGCTCACAAATCCTTGAAAGATCTGGACAAAGTCCCATCAGTGAGCTGCTCCGGCAGGCAAGGCTGCGTTGGCTGGGTCATGTAGCCCACATGCCCAGCCACCGCATGCCTAAACAGCTTTTGTTCGGCCGGATCGAGGGGGCTAAATGGGCGCGGCACGGGCTAGAGATGAGATGGAGGGATGTGGTACAGGAGGACGTGGAGCTGAGTGGACTTGCCGATGACTGGTACCAGCGGTGTCAAGATCGGCCTCTGTGGAGGAGGCTCGTGAAGGACGCTACTGGGCAGTTGGAGGCAGTCGCCCTCCAACAACAACGGAGGGCGGAGGAGCGACGCTCACAACAACGAGTGGAGCGCCGGGTGGCTAAAACACAGCAAGTTGGCACAGTAGGGGGCACAGGTGGGGCATCAGCCAGTCATCTCGGTCATCTCGGTCAGTCGACCCGTGGCACCTGCTGGGTCTGCCCCGTGACCTCCTGCCAGCGGGCGTTCGACACTTCACGTGGTCTCAAGGTGCACATGGCCTGGCACAAGCGTCGTGGTGACGTCAGTGGCGAATGGCGGTTTTTGTTGTGTACGTGCGTGTGTACAAGTGTGTATGTGTACGTGTGTGTGTACATATGTGTGTGTGTGTACATGTGTGTACGTGTGTGTACGTGTGTGTGTACGAGTGTGTGTGTACAAGTGCGTGTGTACAAGTGTGTGTGTACAAGTGTGTACGTGTGTGTGTACGAGTGTGTGTGTACAAGTGTGTGTGTACAAGTGTGTGTGTACAAGTGTGTACGTGTGTGTGTACGAGTGTGTGTGTACGAGTGTGTGTGTACAAGTGTGTGTGTACAAGTGTGTACGTGTGTGTGTACGAGTGTGTGTGTACAAGTGTGTGTGTACAAGTGTGTGTGTACAAGTGTGTACGTGTGTGTGTACGAGTGTGTGTGTACAAGTGTGTGTGTACAAGTGTGTGTGTACAAGTGTGTACGTGTGTGTGTTTACACGTATGCAGATCGGCGAGGGCCTAGCTCCTCCGCTGCTTTCTTCGACCGTCGCCCGGCGGTTCTGGGCATCACGCTCCCCGTCTCGCACGCCTCGCACGCCACGCACGCCACACACCCCACACACCCCACGCATCACTCCGCGCACCACCCCACGCACCACCCCACGCACCACCCCGCGCACCACCCCGCGCACCACCCCGCGCACCACCCCACGCACCACCCCGTGCACCACCCCGCGCACCACCCCACGGCGGCGGCGCACAGGCAGGCGGTGCGACACGCGGACGGGGACAAGGAAGAGCGGGGGGGCGCCAGGCAGAGGGAGCGAGTGGGGAGCGTCGCCTGCACCCGCAGGAGCATCAACGTCGGCCCGCGCGAGGAGTTTAGGTGACGCACGCACGCACGCACGCACACACACACACGCACACACACACGCACGCACGCACGCACACACGCACACACACACACGCGCGCACGCACACACACGCACACACACACGCACGCACACACACATACAAAACAGACAAAGATCCCCCTATAGCGTGTAACAGACTGAAGGGGCAAGTGCTGTTAGCGAGCACCAGGTACTCATTTGAGGCCGAGTAGATCTAAGGGAGGCCCAGGACCCGGTTCAGATAATCGTCACTCGTGGTGTTGGCCGTGAGCGGGAATCGAACCCGGGTAGCCAGGTTCGTAGCGCAGCGTGATAACAGCTACACTACCGCTCCCCGCACACACACGCACGTGCATACACGCATTTCAGTTTCATTTATTTCGGTTTCATGTATTAGGTATAGCCCTATGAGCCATTCGGCTCTTGAATCGGGTGCAACCGCAACAAACAAAAAACAAAAACATGAACAAGAAAACATCTTAAAGTGACTATGTGACTGAGTGCAAACAGAAAATCCAAGAAAAGACAGCAAAATATTGCAGAAAAAGCACCGTACACCAACGCTGTGTGCAAAAATCCCAGTGGGATGCAAGTCAAACAACAACAACCACAAGACAACTTAGATTAAGGCCATCAGTCTAACTCCGTACTACAACAAACAAACATGGCCAAATCAAAAAACTTTTTCGAAATCGCCAAAATAAAGCCGTGAAAGCAATGTAACAGTGATCATAGGAACTGTCACCGAATTTTCACAATAAACGACATAAACAACATGCACCACCAAACCCTGCAGCCATCGCTGGCCGCCGTTCGCCACCGAGTGGTGGTGTCGTCACCACGGCGCCCAGGTCCTCCGGTTTTTCCCTCCATACATTTCGTTGGGCCATCAATTGTGGCCAGGTCGCTTCTGAGAGACAAGAGCTACATGGCTCAGTGGGCCTTACCTGGTAAAACAAAACAAAACAGTTTAATACTTTGTAGTGTAACTCTCTTTCTAACTCTCGCCGTCGCCCTCCCATCAACAGGAACGGCCTCGACAACTCCGAGGCCTTGCCTCTCGACTTCCACCGATTGCCGCACGCTGGCGGCGGCGGTGCGGCGACGATGCCAGGGAGCAGCGCCTCCTCCTCCTCCACCGCCACCACCACCTCGTCCATCTCGTCCACCACCACCTCCTCGTCGTCGTCCTTGTCGTCGTCCACCTCGCAGGCCGCTTGGCTGAGCCACGTCTCCGGCGGCGGCGGCGACGGCGGCGAAGCGGCGAGCGGCTACTGGAGCCCGGTGCCGCGGCCGGGGGACGACACGGGCGGCGGCCTCAACCTCAGCAGCAACAACAACGGCAGCCACAACCACCACAACCACCATCACCACCAGCAGCAGCAGCAGCACCACAACCACCACCACAACCACCACCAGCAGCACCAGCAGCAGCCGCCGGGCCTGAGGCCTGTCGGGGCAGGCCACCCGTTCCGCCCGACGGGCCTGTGGGTGCCGCCGTTTGAGAAGGGCCGGGAGGAGAACGGGGTGAAGGCCGAGGGCAGGAAGGCCTCGGCCGAGGTGATGCCGCAGGTGGTGTCCATGGGGGGCTCCCACTTCGGGGGGCCAGGCGTCGGCGGAGGGGTCCCCCCCCACTTTTTGTGCGAGCTGCAGCGCTCGGCACACCACTTCCTGGAGAAGCAGGGCACTTGCCTGGATCGGCTCGCCCAGGAGAGGGCGCCAGAGGGGGCGGAGCGGCCAAGCCAACAGGCAGGCCTGAGGGCCTGCCCCGGGCCCATCACCAGCAGCAGCAGCAGCGTATACAGGTAGGGGAGGCCGCCTGTTGTCGTGAGTGGGTGGGTGAGTGAGTGGGTGGTGAGTGAGTGGTGAGTGAGTGAGCGGGTGGTGAGTGAGTGAGTGAGCGGGTGGTGAGTGAGCGGGTGGTGAGTATTAAGTGATTGGATGGTGAGTAGGTGGTGAGTGAGCGGGTGGTGAGTAGTGAGTGGGGGGCGAGTGAGTGAGCGGGTGGTGAGTGAGTGGGTGAGTGAGTGGGTGGGTGAGTTAGTGGGTGAGTGAGTGGGTGGTGAGTGAGTGGGTGAGTGAGTGAGCGAACGGGTGGTGAGCGAGCGGGTGGTGAGTGAGTGGGTGCTGAGTGAGTGTGTGGTGAGTGAGTGGTGAGTGAATGGGTGAGTAAGTTAGTGATCAGGTGGTGAATGGTGAGTGAGTGGTGAGTGAGTGGTGATTTGGGTTTCCACCTGTCCCAATTTTCCCAGAATCATTCTTTATTAAGCTGCCTGTCCTGGAAAACCTGTAAGTTTTCGTAGGACGTTATCAAATACAAAAAATTATCGGCGCACATGAGCTGAGCCAGCACGGTACAGGTGATGGTTTTTCCACTGGCACACCCGACCAGAGCCATAGCCAAACCACCTCACAAAGAACGCATCCAAATCTGGCTCGGGGCGGGGGGCCAAGCAGGGCCAGGGGCAGGGGGGGGCTAACAACGCGTTCCTCGCGCGCCATTGACACCAGTCGGTGGCGCAGCATCGCCGGTGCGCGTCGATACGCGCGCCGTGACCGTCGGCCGAGCTCGGTTTGTGCGCAGCGGGAAAAAAAGAGGTCGTAAAAAGTCCCGGCGGCGCTTGTCAGCTACGCAGCGAAGCCGAGGGCAGCGCACGGCGCCCGCCCCTCCCCCCGCCGGTGTCCCGTGACGTGGGGGCCGCGGTGTGTGTGTCCCCCCCCCCCCCCCCCAGGCCCGACGTGGTGTACGACGAGGCCCTGCGCACGACGCGTCGCGTGGTCAGCCGCCTCGACCTGGCCGAGAGGAAGCGCAAACTTGCCTGGCTCCACGGTAAGTGGCTCACCTGGCTCCACGGTGAGTGAGCCACTACGCCGGCAGGCTCGACAGGGACATGTGGGAGCGCGGCTGGAATGCTCACTCCCCCCCACCCGCTTTCCCACTCCCCCCCCCCCCCCAGCTTGTGTACGTTCGTAAACCTCAGCGCCACTGGGGAGACAAAGGCGGCCGGGCGTGGTGCTGGCCACCCACCCCCTCGTGTGCCGTTCCGGCCTTCATAGGTGCTCGCTAACAGCCCTTGCCCCTACACTCTGTTAAGGCTACACGGGGGATCTTTGTCTATGCGTGTATCTGCGCGTGTGTCTGTGTGATGCATCTGCGTGTGATGGATGTGTGAGTCTGTGTGTGTGTGTATTCTGACTATGTATGTGCATGTATATGCGTGTTAGTGTATGTTCGCGTGCGTGTGTGTCTGTGTGTGTGTCTATGTGTGTGTGTCTATGTGTGTGTGTGTCTGTGTGTGTGTGTGTGTCTATGTCATGGCTATACGGGGGATCTTTGTGTACATGTGTAGGACTCGTACAAGGGTTGTCTTTCTCTCTTTATTTTCCTCTTAGAGTCCACCTTCGCCGCGCCACTGCTCCACGTCTCTCCGTGCCCTCGCTCCGCTCCGCGTCGCTCCGCGTCTCTCCGTGCCCTCGCTCCGCTCCGCGTCGCTCCGCGTCTCTCCGTGCCCTCGCTCCGCTCCGCGTCGCTCCGCGTCTCTCCGTGCCCTCGCTCCGCTCCACGTCGCTCCGCGTCTCTCCGTGCCCTCGCTCCGCTCCGCGTCGCTCCGCGTCTCTCCGTGCCCTCGCTCCGCTCCGCGTCGCTCCGCGTCTCTCCGTGCCCTCGCTCCGCTCCGCGTCGCTCCGCGTCTCTCCGTGCCCTCGCTCCGCTCCGCGTCGCTCCGCGTCTCTCCGTGCCCTCGCTCCGCTCCACGTCGCTCCACGTCTCTCCGTGCCCTCGCTCCACGTCGCTCCGCGTCTCTCTACCTCACTATCGCTACGCTTGTCATCTCTACGGTTTCTCCTACTCTGCATCCTTCCGATGCACGGCTACCCTGGTGGCTCACTGCGTTCTCGCTACCACTGTCTCTCCGTGCTTTACTCTACTGTCACTTGCTCTGCGACTCCCCGGGCACCGTTGCTGCAGCTCCATCCACGACGCCGACTCGTACAGGACTCCCTTCTCTCCGTTGCGCTCTGGCTTATATCCCCACACCAATTAATCTCCCTAATTATCTCTACCCCCCCCCCCCCCCGCTTATCGCTCACCCCCTGCCCCCCCCCCCCCCCGTGTCACGTGGCCTTGTTTTCACCGCCAGAGCGACGCCAGCTAATGCCCAATTACCTTCCCAGCCAATCAGTGGCCTGTGTCCTCCCGGCTACCCTGACACCTGTTTCAACCCTTAACGACCCACTTCGCCTAAAGTCACAACAACAACCATTACCCCACATCACTCCACTGTACTGTGCTTGCTTGCATAGCAACAGAGGCAGGGGATGCGTGGCGCACTATACTCAAGCCCTACACATGTATAAACGCGTGTGCGTGTACGCGTGTGTGTGTGTAGTCACGTGTGTGTGCATGCGTGTACGCGTGTGTGTGCGTGTGTGTGCGTATTTACGTGTGTGTGTGTACGTGTGTGTGTTTATTTACGTGTGCATGTGTGTACGTGTGTGTGTATTTACGTGTGTACGTGTGTGCGTGTGTGTGTATTTACGTGTGTACGTGTGTACGTGTGTGTGTGTATGTGTCCGTGTGTGCGTGTGTGTATTCACGTGTGTGTGTGTATTCACGTGTGTGTGTGTGCGTGTGTGTGTGTACGTGTGTGTACGTGTGTGTACGTGTGTGTGCGTGTATTCACGTGTGCGTGTACGTGGGTGTGTGTATTTGCGTGTGCGTGTGTGTATTCACGTGTGTGCGTGTGTGTATTCACGTGTGTGCGTGTGTGTGTGCGTGTGTGTGCGTATTTACGTGTGCGTGTGTGTGTATTTACGTGTGCATGTGTGTACGTGTGTGTGTATTTACGTGTGTACGTGTGTGTGTGTATTTACGTGTGTGTGTATTTACATGTGTGTGTGTGCGTGTGTGTGTGTACGTGTGTGTGTGTGCGTGTGTGTGTGTACGTGTGCGTGTGTGTGTGTATGTGTGTGTATTTACATGTGTGTGTGTTTACGTGTGTGTGTATTCACGTGTGTGTGTGTGTGTACGTGTGCGTGTGTGTGTGTATGTGTGTGTATTTACATGTGTGTGTGTTTACGTGTGTGTGTGTGTGTATTCACGTGTGTGTGTGTACGTGTGTGTGTATTCACGTGTGTGCGTGTGCGTGTGTGTGTGTACGTGTGTGCGTGTACGTGTGTGTGTGTGCGTGTGCGTGTGTGCGTGTGTGTGTCTAGGAGTCCGAGCTCCCAGCGGCTCGGACAGCGACGAGGAGCTGGACGAGGGGGAGATGAGAGCCGACGTGCGGCGCCTGTCCCAGCGGCCGCCCCTGCCTCTCTCGTGCACGCCCGAGGTGCGTGGGCGGTGTCATTATGTGTGTGTGTGGGTGTCTGTGTGTGTGTGTGGGTGTCTGTGTGTGGTGTCTGTGTGCGGTGTCTGTGTGTGTGGTGTCTGTGTGTGTGGTGACTGTCCCAGCGGCCGCCTCTGCCTCTCTCCTGCACGCCCGAGGTGCGTGAGCCGTGTGTGTGTGTGTCTGTGTACCACTATCTGTGTGTGCGGCGTCTGTGTGTGCGTACATCTGACATCTGTGTGTATTTCGTATCCATCTCTGTCTCGCCAAGAAAATCTCAATTGCCTTTGTCTAATCCGTGCGTCCATCCACGTCTCCGCGTGAATCCCCCTCTCCGTGCCCCCCCCCCGCGTACCCCCCCCCGTGCCCCCTCCCCGCGTGCCCCCCCCCGTGCCCCCCCCCCCCGCGCCCCCCCACATAGAAGCTGGGCCTGCTGGCCATCGTGGGCCTCACGTCGCGCCCGCACCGCGACTCCCTCGCCGCCGAGCGTGCCCGCAAGCGCCGCCGGCGCATGATGGACCCCAGCCCCCCCCGCGGGGCCGCCCCCTCGCTCCCACAATGCACCGCGGCGGCCGCGGCCGGGGGCGCGGTGGCGGCGGCGGCGTTGCCCGCGTGCACCGCGACTGGTACGACGCAGCAGCAGCAGCAGGGCGACCTCAACAGCGCCAGCGACTTCCCCGAGAAGATGGACTTCCTGGTGCGGCTGTCGCTCACGCACGTCAAGCCGGAGCTGCGCCAGGGTGAGCCGGGCTCGGTGACGCGACGGCGTCGGCCGATCGGTGCGTCGTCATCGACTCGGGGGGGGGGGGGGAGCGCGATGTCAGAGCCGTGCCGGCCTTAATAGGCGCTCGCTGACGACGCCCCTGTTGGCACGGTCGGCTGTGTACGCTGCTGCGCAAGTTCAACGTACGTACGCACGCACCGCAGCAATGCAGAGGCGGATCGCTGCGTCCGTGTGCGAGTGTGCGGAGCGGTGGCGCGGCGGTTAGCGGCGTTGCGTGCGCTGCGAACCCCCGGAGGCCCGAGTTCGATTCCCACCGACATCGGCGGCGAAGATCTGAACCGGCGCTTGGCTTGAGCTCGCCGAGTACCTGGTACGGTGTGTGAACGTCAGCGCCGGGGAGACAGAGGCGGCCGGGCCTGGCCCTGGCCACACCACCCCTCCGTGGGCGTGCCGTGCCGGCCTTAATAGGCGCTCGCTAACGGCACTTTCCCCAAGAGGTCTTTGCTAATGGCTACACGGGGGGGGTGGGGAACCTTTGTCTTTGCCGCGTGCGGCGTGCGCAGAGCGAGAGTGCGCCCTGGCGCTCATGCAGGCCGCCAAGGACGGGCGGCTGCCCAGCGACGCTCCCTTCCGCCACCCGACGCCGTGGCTGCACCTCCACTCCTCGGCGCAGCACCACCCCGGTGAGCGCCATCCCTGTGAACACCACCCCGGTGAGCGCCACCCCGGTGAGTGCCACGCTGGTGAGCGCCACCCCGGTGAGCGCCACCCCGGTGAGCGCCACACCGCCACCGCCACCGCCGCCGCCGGCTGGTGACAAACGCCGACCTAGAGGAGGGGGGTGGGGGGCAGAAGTTGCAAACGGGTTTTGATTCCTTACCCGTACCCGTACCCGGCCGCACCAGGGTCGCAAACGGGTACCCATACCCGGCTGGGTACGGGTAGCCGGGTATCGGGTAGGGTACGGGTATCGGGGGGTACCCGGTTGCGACCTCTGGTGGGGGGTAGTGGGGTGTGGGTGGGTATGGCACCGCCCGGATTAGAATCGCGACTGGAGTGCGCCGGTCTGCGTGGAGTTGGTCTGGCATGTGAGCGGAGGGGGGGGGGCCACGGGGGCTGGTGGTGGGGGGCTGGAGGGGGGGCTGCGGGGGAGGGGAGGGGCCGAGGATGACGTCACCGGAGACTCCGAGCTGAGAGCGGGTGTCGTGAGTGCGAGCGTGCGCGTGTGTGCGTGTGAGTGTGTAAATGTGCGCGTGTGTGGACACGTGTTTGTGTGTGCGCGTGGGGAGCGGTGGCGCAGCCGTTAGCGCTACGCCGCGCTCCGAAAACCGGCGATCCGAGTTCGATTCCCGCTCACGGCCAACACCGGCGACGATTAGGTCGACTCGGCCTCAAATGAGTACCCGGTGCGGTGTGTAGTAAACATCGCCACTGGGGAGACAAATGTGGCCGGGCGTGGTGCTGGCCACCCACCCCCTCCTGTCCCGTGCCGGCCTTCATAGGTACTCGCTTAGAGCACTTGCCCCTACAGTCTGCCGCAGGCTACACGGGGGATCTTTGTCTGTGTGTGTGAGCTGTATATTCTCCCCATTGCTCTGCGGGAGATTCCTCCCACAGCAAATGAAGCGCACACTCACAGTGCCAGCGCTATTGGCCAAAACAACATCGCAATGTTAAAACATCATCTGCAAATCACTTTTCACAGCAGCAATGAGGCCTAACCACCACTACTACCTCCAACACCACCACACCACCACACCACCACTACCACCACTACCACAACAACAACTACCACCACCACAACTATTGCCACCACAACCTCCACCACCAAAACAACCACCACCACTACAACAACCACCACAACAACCATCCACCACAACAACTACCACAACCACAACAATCACAACCTCCACCACCACAATAACCACCACCACAATAACCACCACCACTACCACAACCGCCACAACAACTACCACCACCACCCTCTCGCTTGCAGGTCCCAACGTCTCCTCCACCACCTCCTCCACCACCTCCTCCACCACCTCCTCCACCACCTCCTCCACCACCTCCTCCACCACCTCCACCACCACCGCCTCCTCCGCCATCGTTGCTCCCAACGTCTCCACGGGCGCCGTCTCCGTCGCCCCTCCCTCTCCACCACCGCTCGTCGTGGTGCCCCGCGAGCCCCCCACTAGAACGGCGGCCCCCCACTTCCATTTGGCTAAACCACAACCGCAACAACCGCAGCAACAACCGCAGCAACAAACGCAGCAACAGCCGCCGGCACCGCCGCGCGGCCTTGCGCCACCGCCCCCGTCCATCGCCGCTCTCCCCCCGCGCCTCTCCGACTCCGCCGGTGGGATCGTCCGAACCGCCCTCGACTTGACCAGGCCCGGTCTGGCCTCTGTACGGCCTCAGCAGCAGCAGCAGCAGCAGCAGACGCAGCAGCAGCATCATCATCATCATCAACATCATCATCAGCAGCAGCAGCAGCAGCATCATCATCAGCAGCAGCATCATCAGCATCATCAGCATCAACAGCAGCAGGGAAGGTCCAACGACGCCCAGCAGCACCTTCGCAGGCAGGACTTGAGCGTGAATGGCGGTGGGTCGGCCAGGCCTGTGCTCGGCCCGGTCGCTAGGCCGATGATGAGCGACATCCGGTTCCTGGGAATGGAAGGCGGCGGCGGCAACAACAACAGCAGCAACAGCAGCAGCATCATCATCAGCGGCGGCGGCCACAACAATAACAACAGCAGCAGCAGCAGCATTATCGTCAGCGGCCACAACAACAACAGCAGCAGCATCATCAGCGGCGGCGGCCACAACAACAACAACAGCAGCAGCATCAGCGGCAGCGGTGGTGGCCACAGCAGCAGCCACGGCGGCCACAGCAGCGGCTGCAACGGCAACGCAGGAGGCAGAGGGGTCGCGGTGACGCCCACGGCGGCGGCGGCGGCGTGGCCGGCCGTGCGTCCGAGCTTCTCGCCGTTCGGTCGGCCGCAGGGCGGCGTGCGGTGGAGCGCAAACTCCGACGCGGTGCTCGAGCACTCTCACGCTCACGCCGACGCGGGCGGCGGCGGCGGCGACGGCGCCGGTCGAGCGGAGCACGGCGTCGGCGCGGCTGCCGACGGCGCGGGGAGAGCCGAGTCGGCGCCGGGAGCGGCTTCCGCCGCCGCCGGGGTCCCGGGGAGCGGCGCGGAGGCGCCGGGAGACGGAGCGGCGGAGTGGAGGGGCGTGGAGGCCGTGATCGAGGCCTACCAGCAGCACCTGATGGGTGCGTCCCGCGGTGGCGTGGCGGCGGTGGGGAATGCTGCTGCTGCCGTGTGCGTGCGTCTGGCCTGGCACAGGCGCCGTGGTGAATGGCGTTGGCGTTGGTGTGAGCGTGGGAAGCAAAAACCCGAGACCCGAGTTCGATTCCCGCTCACGGCCAATTTTCGGTGACGATTATCCGAACCACGTCAACTCAGCCTCAAATGAGTACCTGGTGCTGTGTGTGTGGTAAACATCGCCACTGGGGAGACAAAGGCGGCCGGGCGTGGTGCTGGCCACCCACCCCCTCGTGCGCCACAGTGCCGGCCTTGCTCGCAATGGCGCTTGCCCCGGCAGTGCGTGTTAAGGCTGCACGGGGGACCTCTGTGTGTGCACGGGTGACCTCTGTGTGTGAGCGGGTGACCTCTGTGTGTGCACGGGTGACCTCTGTGTGTGAGCGGGTGACCTCTGTGTGTGCGCGGGTAACCTCTGTGTGTGCGCGGGTGACCTCTGTGTGTGCGCGGGTGACCTCTGTGTGTGCGCGGGTGACCTCTGTGTGTGCGCGGGTGACCTCTGTGTGTGTGCGGGTGACCTCTGTGTGTGCGCGGGTGACCTCTGTGTGTGCGCGGGTGACCTCTGTGTGTGTGCAGGTGACCTCTGTGTGTGCGCGGGTGACCTCTGTGTGTGTGCGGGTGACCTCTGTGTGTGCGCGGGTGACCTTTGTGTGTGCGCGGGTGACCTCTGTGTGTGCGCGGGTGACCTCTGTGTGTGTGCGGGTGACCTCTGTGTGTGCGCGGATGACCTCTGTGTGTGTGCGGGTGACCTCTGTGTGTGGGCGGGTGACCTCTGTGTGTGTGCGGGTGACCTCTGTGTGTGCGCGGGGGACCTCTGTGTGTGTGCAGGTGACCTCTGTGTGTGTGACCTCTGTGTGTGTGCGGGTGACCTCTGTGTGTGTGCGGGTGACCTCTGTGTGTGTGCGGGTGACCTCTGTGTGTGCGCGGGTGACCTCTGTGTGTGTGCGGGTGACCTCTGTGTGTGTGCAGAGCACGTGCTGGAGCGAGAGGTGCTGCAGGAGCAGGTGGGCCGCCTGAACCTCTACAACCGCCACCTGGGGACCCTGGCCGAGACCCTGAACTCGCGCGTCGCGGTGAGGCTCCCTCGGCCCGCTCGGGGACACTCGGGACACAGCAGGATGGAGACACGGAGACACGGGGATGGGGACACGGCGGCACGGAGACACGGGGATGGGGACAAAGCGGGACGGGGACACAGCGGGACGGAGACACGGAGACACGGGGACATGGGGACATGGGGACATGGGGACGGAGACACAGATACACGGGGACACGGGGACACGGGGACACTGGGGACACAGCGGGACGGAGACACGGGGATGGGGACACGGGGACACGGAAATGGGTACACGCTGGGACGGAGACACACGGGACAGAGACACGGAGACACGGGGACATGGGGACACGGGGATGGGGTACACCGGGATGGGTACATTGGGACACGGGGACACGGGTAGAGATAGGGGAACAGGGGTACAGTTGGGGAATAGGTTTATGGGGCTGCTGACAATGGCGATGATGATGATGATGATATGGAATGCGACGACACCGATGATGACGTCGATGATGACGTCGATGACGACGTCGATGACGACGTCGATGACGACGTCGACGATGACGTCGACGATGACGCCGTCGATGACGACGTCGATGATGACGTCGATGATGACGTCGACGATGACGTCGTCGATGATGACGTCGATGATGACGTCGACGATGACGTCGTCGATGATGACGTCGTCGATGACGACGTCGATGACGACGTCGATGGCGACGTCGATGATGACGCCGCTGCCGACCGTGACTCTAAACCGCTGACGACGGCTCTCTCTCGGGCAGGAGCTGCTGGGCTGCAAGCGCCGCCTGGCGAGCGAGCGCCAGCGCAGCGAGGAGGCCCTGGCCCGCCTGCACCGCTGCCTGCCGGCCGCCCCCCCCGGCTGCCCCCCCCGGCTGTCCGTGGCCGCCCCCCCCCCCGCCGCTGTCGCTGGCCGCGAGGGCGGCACGCCTGCCCACGACGGCCTCGTCAGGGCCCTCGGCCCAGCAGCACGGCCACTGACGCGGCCTCGTCCGCCCGCCCGCCTGCCCGTCCGTCCGCCCGCCTGCCCGTCCGTCCGTCTGTCGGAGTGTCTCAGTGTTTGTCTGTGTGAATGTCCACATGTCTGTGTGAGTGTCCGTGTCTCTGTATATAGGTCTCTGTGTCTCTGTGTCTGTCCCCGTATGTATGTGTGTATGTGTGTCTGTGTGTCTCTGTGGCTGTGTGTCTGTCCCCGTATGTATGTGTGTCTCTGTATCTCTGTGTCTGTTCCCGTATGTCTGTGTGTATGTGTGTCTGTGTGTCTCCGTGGTTCGGTGGCTTTGTGACTGTCTGAGGGTCCGAGTGCGGAACGGCGGTTAGCGCCGCGCCGCGCTACGAACCCAGCAGAGACCCAAGTTCGATTCCCGCTCACGGCCACCACCAACACCGCCAGTGACGATGATCTGAACCGGTCCTGGGCCTCCCCTCGGTCGACTCGGCCTTAAATCAGTACCGGGCGCGGTTCTGGCCACACCGCTCCCCGCACCTCCGCTTAGCACGGCTGGCCATGTACGGTGCGAAAGAAGTTCAAAGTGCACGCGCACACACGCACACATTGGGCGAGCGGCGCCGGCCTTCTTAGGCACTGCTGCTCATCGAACAGCACTTGCCCCGGCAGCCCGCGTGGGCTACGCCGGGGTGGGGGGGGGGGGAGGGACCCTTTGTCTTTGTCGTACGTCCCGTGTCTGGTCCGCCGCGCTTGGCTCAGGAGGCCGGTGGGCACCAGGGCGGTCGTCTCAACCGCCGGACTTCGTTGGTGTCGGTCGGGCGTCGCCTGTGGGTTCGTTCGTTCGACTCGACTGTGCGTCCGGATCAACGAGGAGCACGGATGGCGAAGCCGTCTGGTCCGCTCGGCATCTGGTTCCACCGCGGGCGACATGGCAGGAGCGTCACGTGGGGCGCTTGGGAGGCCCTTCTGCATAAACGCGGCGCTGTACGGAGCGGCGCTGTACGGAGCGGCGCTGTACGGAGCGGCGCTGTACGGAGCGGCGCTGTACGGAGCGGCGCTGTACGGAGCGGCGCTGCGGGAGGTCGTCGTAGCACGCTTCCGGCCGAGATGCGTTCCCCAGCCGTTGTTTGCGAGCCTACGAGCGATATACGAGGCCTTCACTTGGCGTTGAGTCGATAATAGCCTTGACAGCGACACAGTACGCAACGATACTGTACGCAACGATAAAATGTGCGGAAGAATTAGGATCAATAATAAATAAATGGGAAAAAAATAAACTTTGAATGATAGCGGCAAAAAAAAAAATTCCGATCGGTTGCTGCCCGCCGGTGCACTCGGGCGGAGCCAATCGCACCGCCCGCTTGGTTTTAGCGCGCGGCTCGGAGACAGAGAGGGGGGGCGGCGACGCTGTAAGAGACGCCGACGCTGTAGGAGGCAGCGGCGTTGGCAGCGACGCTGTCGGAGGCGCGCCTGCACTGACCGAGCCCTCGCGAGGACAAACCAAGCGATGCCCCGTGCGGTACTTCGATCTCAAGCAATAAGTGTCGGGCGGGGGGCTGTGGGCGGTGGGGTGGGGGGTCCTACCCCCTCCGCGAGGCATCGCGACGGCAGGTATCGGGGTGCGCCACGGCCCCCGCCGTGTCCGGGGAGCCGGGCGCTGAACGACTCCGAGTCGGGGGGGTGGGGCACGAGCCGAGGGAGGCGAGGAAAATTCTCTTTTGTGCCGTCGCTTAAATGCATAAGCGAGAAAAATATATACAAGTAAAAACACGTGTCGCGCGGCGGGGTCACGCGATGTCACGCGGGGTCACGCGGGGTCACGCGGGGTCACGCGGGGCGCGCTCGACCAATGGCGTTGATTGGCGCGAATTTCAAATGGAGTCGGCATCCCCCTGGGGCAGAGTCGGCGACCCGGGGCGGATTTGGGGACCCGGAGCGGATTTGGGGACCCGGAGCGGATTTGGGGACCCGGAGCGGATTTGGGGACCCGGAGCGGAATTGGGGACCCGGAGCGGATTTGGGGACCCGGAGCGGATTTGGGGACCCGGAGCGGATTTGGGGACCCGGAGCGGATTTGGGGACCCGGAGCGGAATTGGGGACCCGGAGCGGAATTGGGGACCCGGAGCGGATTTGGGGACCCGGAGCGGATGAGTCGTCGGTGGGGCGACCCGGCCCTGCCGCTCCACAGGGACGGGGGAACTCGAGCGGGATTTAGGGGGGGGATGTCGGTGGGCAGGAGGAGCCTGCGTCGCATCGTCTACGCGCGGCAGGCTCAATGAGAGACACGAACTCTCCAAGTGAACTTGACGACTACGTTTCGTTTCGTTTTTTTGACGTCGATGAATTATACCGTTCTTCGTTTTCAGTTTTTATTTTGTTTTGCGGTGAGGTGGGCGGGGGGGGGGGTAACCGGCGGCGGTGGCGGTGGCGGCGGTGGTGGTGGCGGTGGCGGTGGTGGTGGTTTACCACAACCAAGTTGTGAATTCGAACCGTGGCCTGCGGCGGTCAGAATGCGAGGGGTCGGAGGGCAGAGCCGGGCCGAGGGGTACAGCGGCGACACGCAGCGTCCCACCCCCCCCCCCCCAATCGGAACGCGCGCGTCTCTCCGGGTTATTTATTGCGGCGTGGAAGCACCCCCCCCACCCCACCCCCCCACCCTGTATATTTACAGATGGATTTTAATAAAAAGTTTTAACACCGGCACGCCGCCTCGCTCGCCTCTCTCCCCCCCCGCTCCTCCGTCACTCCGAAGGGCGCTAATTATACAACTGTTATCATCATTATTGATGCGTTGTTATCGATGTCATCGCTGCTGCGAAACGGCCTTCCCCTACCCGTGGGTGGGTGTCAAGGAGAGGAGCCGTACTCCCTGGCTCGGCCAGGTAGTAGCTGGTGGTGGTACAGCAGAGTGTGGACTAATCTCCATCTGTTCCATCTCACTCCCTTCTACTCGTGGGGTGGGTGTCAAGGATAGGAGCAGTACCCCCAGGCTCGGCCAGGAGAAGGCGGTACTACAGCAGTGTGGACTAATCTCCATCTGTACGGCGGGGATCGAGTGTTTCCCCCTCACAGGAGAGGGTTTGCTCCGGGTGCTCCGATCTCCTCCCACACACGTAAACACTCGTTCGTTGGCTCACCTTAATATGTAGAGGTCCACAGAGCGTGGGCAATCGTTGGGAGCTCAGAGCCAGACTGAGGCTCCTCCCACAGGGTTCAGTGTTCATCACTGGGGCTCACAGAGCCAGACTGAGGCTCCTCCCACAGGGTTCAGTGTTAATCAGTGAGGCTCACAGAGCCAGACTAAGGCTCCCACAGGGTTCAGTGTTTATCACTGAGACTCACAGAGCCAGACTGAGGCTCCCATAGGGTTCAGTGTTCATCACTGAGGCTCACAGAGCCAGACTGAGGCTCCCATAGGGTGCAGTGTTAATCAATGAGACTCACAGAGCCAGACTGAGGCTCCCACAGGGTTCAGTGTTAATCAATGAGACTCACAGAGCCAGACTGAGGCTCCCACAGGGTTCAGTGTTCATCACTGTGGCACACAGAGCCAGACTAAGGCTCCCACAGGGTTCAGTGTTAATCAATGAGACTCACAGAGCCAGACTGAGGCTCCCACAGGGTTCAGTGTTCATCACTGAGGCTCACAGAGACAGACTGAGGCTCCCACAGGGTTCAGTGTTCATCACTGGGGCTCACAGAGCCAGACTGAGGCTCCCACAGGGTTCAGTGTTCATCACTGGGGCTCACAGAGCCAGACTGAGGCTCCCACAGGGTTCAGTGTTCATCGCTGGGGCTCACAGAGCCAGACTGAGGCTCCCACAGGGTTCAGTGTTCATCACTGGGGCTCACAGAGCCAGACTGAGGCTCCCATAGGGTTCAGTGTTAATCAATGAGACTCACAGAGCCAGACTAAGGCTCCCACAGGGTTCAGTGTTAATCAGTGAGGCTCACAGAGCCAGACTGAGGCTCCTCCCACAGGGTTCAGTGTTCATCACTGAGGCTCACAGAGCCAGACTGAGGCTCCCACAGGGTTCAGTGTTCATCACTGGGGCTCACAGAGCCAGACTGAGGCTCCCATAGGGTTCAGTGTTAATCAATGAGACTCACAGAGCCAGACTAAGGCTCCCACAGGGTTCAGTGTTAATCAGTGAGGCTCACAGAGCCAGACTGAGGCTCCTCCCACAGGGTTCAGTGTTCATCACTGAGGCTCACAGAGCCAGACTGAGGCTCCCACAGGGTTCAGGGTTCATCACTGAGGCTCACAGAGCCAGACTGAGGCTCCTCCCACAGGGTTCAGTGGTAATCACTGAGACTCACAGAGCCAGACTGAGGCTCTCACAGGGTTCAGTGGTTATCACTGGGGCTCACAGAGCCAGACTGAGGCTCCCATAGGGTTCAGTGTTAATCACTGAGACTCACAGAGCCAGACTGAGGCTCCCACAGGGTTCAGTGGTTATCACTGGGGCTCACAGAGCCAGACTAAGGCTCCCACAGGGTTCAGTGTTCATCACTGAGACTCACAGAGCCAGACTAAGGCTCCCACAGGGTTCAGTGTTCATCAATGAGACTCACAGAGCCAGACTAAGGCTCCCACAGGGTTCAGTGTTAATCAGTGAGGCTCACAGAGCCAGACTGAGGCTCCTCCCACAGGGTTCAGTGTTCATCACTGAGGCTCACAGAGCCAGACTGAGGCTCCCACAGGGTTCAGGGTTCATCACTGAGGCTCACAGAGCCAGACTGAGGCTCCTCCCACAGGGTTCAGTGGTAATCACTGAGACTCATAGAGCCAGACTGAGGCTCTCACAGGGTTCAGTGGTTATCACTGGGGCTCACAGAGCCAGACTGAGGCTCCCATAGGGTTCAGTGTTAATCACTGAGACTCACAGAGCCAGACTGAGGCTCCCACAGGGTTCAGTGGTTATCACTGGGGCTCACAGAGCCAGACTAAGGCTCCCACAGGGTTCAGTGTTCATCACTGAGACTCACAGAGCCAGACTAAGGCTCCCACAGGGTTCAGTGTTCATCACTGAGACTCACAGAGCCAGACTGAGGCTCCCACAGGGTTCAGTGGTAATCACTGAGACTCACAGAGCCAGACTGAGGCTCCCACAGGGTTCAGTGGTTATCAATGGGGCTCACAGAGCCAGACTAAGGCTCCCACAGGGTTCAGTGTTCATCACTGAGACTCACAGAGCCAGACTGAGGCTCCCACAGGGTTCAGTGGTAATCACTGAGACTCACAGAGCCAGACTGAGGCTCCCACAGGGTTCAGGGTTCATCACTGAGACTCACAGAGACAGACTGAGGCTCCCACAGGGTTCAGTGGTAATCACTGAGACTCACAGAGCCAGACTGAGGCTCCCACAGGGTTCAGTGGTTATCACTGAGACTCACAGAGCCAGACTAAGGCTCCCACAGGGTTCAGTGTTCATCACTGAGACTCACAGAGCCAGACTGAGGCTCCCACAGGGTTCAGTGGTTATCACTGAGACTCACAGAGCCAGACTAAGGCTCCCACAGGGTTCAGTGTTCATCACTGAGACTCACAGAGACAGACTGAGGCTCCCACAGGGTTCAGTGGTTATCACTGAGACTCACAGAGCCAGACTAAGGCTCCCACAGGGTTCAGTGTTCATCACTGAGACTCACAGAGACAGACTGAGGCTCCCACAGGGTTCAGTGGTTATCACTGAGACTCACAGAGCCAGACTAAGGCTCCCACAGGGTTCAGTGTTCATCACTGAGACTCACAGAGACAGACTGAGGCTCCCACAGGGTTCAGTGGTTATCACTGAGACTCACAGAGCCAGACTAAGGCTCCCACAGGGTTCAGTGTTCATCACTGAGACTCACAGAGACAGACTGAGGCTCCCACAGGGTTCAGTGGTTATCACTGAGACTCACAGAGCCAGACTAAGGCTCCCACAGGGTTCAGTGTTCATCACTGAGACTCACAGAGCCAGACTGAGGCTCCCACAGGGTTCAGTGGTTATCACTGAGACTCACAGAGCCAGACTAAGGCTCCCACAGGGTTCAGTGTTCATCACTGAGACTCACAGAGACAGACTGAGGCTCCCACAGGGTTCAGTGGTTATCACTGAGACTCACAGAGCCAGACTAAGGCTCCCACAGGGTTCAGTGTTCATCACTGAGACTCACAGAGACAGACTGAGGCTCCCACAGGGTTCAGTGGTTATCACTGAGACTCACAGAGCCAGACTGAGGCTCCCACAGGGTTCAGTGGTTATCACTGAGACTCACAGAGCCAGACTGAGGCTCCCACAGGGTTCAGTGGTTATCACTGAGACTCACAGAGCCAGACTGAGGCTCCCACAGGGTTCAGTGGTTATCACTGAGACTCACAGAGCCAGACTGAGGCTCCCACAGGGTTCAGTGGTTATCACTGGGTGGGCGGGGCGACTAGGCGGGGGCGGGGCGGCTGAGGGGGCGGGGCTGTTGAGCCGCGATCCCATTGGCTCGTCGCGTCGTCACGGGGTCACCACGGGGGTCGTCACGGGGTCACCACGGGGTCACCGCTCCGTGGGTGAGAAGGGAGCGACTCTCACGAGGTAATTGTCTCTCTGTGTCTCTCACTCTGAGTCACTCTGTGTCTCTCTCTGAGTCTGTGTCTCTCTGTGTCTCTCTGTCTCTCTCACTCTGTCTCTGTGTGTCTCTCACTCTGTGTCTCTCTGTGTCTCACTCTGTGTCTCACTCTGTGTCTGTGTCTCTCTGTGTCTCTCTGTCTCTCTCACTCTGTCTCTCTGTGTCTCTCACTCTGAGTCACTCTGTGTCTCTCTCTGAGTCTGTGTGTTTCACTCTGTGTCTCTGTGTCTCTCTCACTCTGTGTCTCTCTGTGTCTGTGTCTCACTGTCTCTGTGTCACTCTGTTTCTGTGTCTCTGTTTCTGTGTCTCTCACTCTGAGTCACTTTGTGTTTCACTCTGTGTCTGTGTCTCTGTGTCTCTCTCACTCTGTGTCTGTGTCTCTCACTTTGTGTCTCTCTGTGTCTCACTGTCTCTGTGTCTCTGTTTCTGTGTCTCTCACTCTGAGTCACTTTGTGTTTCACTCTGTGTCTGTGTCTCTGTCTCTCTGTGTCTCTCTCACTCTGTGTCTGTGTCTCTCACTTTGTGTCTCTCTGTGTCTCACTGTCTCTGTGTCTCTGTTTCTGTGTCTCTCACTCTGAGTCACTTTGTGTTTCACTCTGTGTCTCTGTCTCTCTGTGTCTCTCTCACTCTGTGTCTGTGTCTCTCACTTTGTGTCTCTCTGTGTCTCACTGTCTCTGTGTCTCTGTTTCTGTGTCTCTCACTCTGAGTCACTTTGTGTTTCACTCTGTGTCTGTGTCTCTGTCTCTCTGTGTCTCTCTCACTCTGTGTCTGTGTCTCTCACTTTGTGTCTCTCTGTGTCTCACTGTCTCTGTGTCTCTGTTTCTGTGTCTCTCACTCTGAGTCACTTTGTGTTTCACTCTGTGTCTCTGTCTCTCTGTGTCTCTCTCACTCTGTGTCTGTGTCTCTCACTTTGTGTCTCTCTGTGTCTCACTGTCTCTGTGTCACTCTGTTTCTGTGTCTCTCACTCTGAGTCACTTTGTGTTTCACTCTGTGTCTCTGTCTCTCTGTGTCTCTCTCACTCTGTGTCTGTGTCTCTCACTTTGTGTCTCTCTGTGTCTCACTGTCTCTGTGTCTCTGTTTCTGTGTCTCTCACTCTGAGTCACTTTGTGTTTCACTCTGTGTCTCTGTCTCTCTGTGTCTCTCTCACTCTGTGTCTGTGTCTCTCACTTTGTGTCTCTCTGTGTCTCACTGTCTCTGTGTCTCTGTTTCTGTGTCTCTCACTCTGAGTCACTTTGTGTTTCACTCTGTGTCTGTGTCTCTGTCTCTCTGTCTCTCTCTGTGTCTCACTCTGTGTCTCTGTCTCTCTCTGCCTCTCTCTCGAGACCGCTCGCGGCCCAGCGAGTCACACAAAGCCTGCACTAGGCCCTGCCTCGCTGGGACAGTGCAGTCAGTGGTGGTGAGGAGCTCACTGTAGTGGTGGTGAGGAGCTCACTGTAGTAGTGGTGAGGAGCTCACTGTAGTGGTGGTGGTGAGGAGCTCACTGTAGTAGTGGTGAGGAGCTCACTGTAGTGGTGGTGGTGAGGAGCTCACTGTAGTAGTGGTGAGGAGCTCACTGTAGTGGTGGTGAGGAGCTCACTGTAGTAGTGGTGAGGAGCTCACTGTAGTAGTGGTGAGGAGCTCACTGTAGTAGTGGTGAGGAGCTCACTGTAGTAGTGGTGAGGAGCTCACTGTAGTGGTGGTGAGGAGCTCACTGTAGTAGTGGTGAGGAGCTCACTGTAGTAGTGGTGAGGAGCTCACTGTAGTAGTGGTGAGGAGCTCACTGTAGTAGTGGTGAGGAGCTCACTGTAGTGGTGGTGAGGAGCTCACTGTAGTAGTGGTGAGGGGCTCACTGTAGTGGTGGTGAGGAGCTCACTGTAGTAGTGGTGAGGAGCTCACTGTAGTGGTGGTGAGGAGCTCACTGTAGTAGTGGTGAGGAGCTCACTGTAGTAGTGGTGAGGAGCTCACTGTAGTAGTGGTGAGGAGCTCACTGTAGTGGTGGTGAGGAGCTCACTGTAGTGGTGGTGAGGAGCTCACTGTAGTGGTGGTGAGGGGCTCACTGTAGTGGTGGTGAGGAGCTCACTGTAGTGGTGGTGAGGGGCTCACTGTAGTGGTGGTGAGGAGCTCACTGTAGTAGTGGTGAGGAGCTCACTGTAGTGGTGGTGAGGGGCTCACTGTAGTGGTGGTGAGGAGCTCACTGTAGTGGTGGTGAGGAGCTCACTGTAGTGGTGGTGAGGAGCTCACTGTAGTAGTGGTGAGGAGCTCACTGTAGTAGTGGTGAGGAGCTCACTGTAGTAGTGGTGAGGAGCTCACTGTAGTGGTGGTGAGGAGCTCACTGTAGTAGTGGTGAGGAACTCACTGTAGTAGTGGTGAGGGGCTCACTGTAGTGGTGGTGAGGGGCTCACTGTAGTGGTGGTGAGGAGCTCACTGTAGTAGTGGTGAGGAGCTCACTGTAGTAGTGGTGAGGAGCTCACTGTAGTGGTGGTGAGGAGCTCACTGTAGTAGTGGTGAGGAGCTCACTGTAGTGGTGGTGAGGGGCTCACTGTAGTAGTGGTGAGGAGCTCACTGTAGTAGTGGTGAGGAGCTCACTGTAGTAGTGGTGAGGAGCTCACTGTAGTGGTGGTGAGGAACTCACTGTAGTGGTGGTGAGGGGCTCACTGTAGTAGTGGTGAGGAGCTCACTGTAGTAGTGGTGAGGAACTCACTGTAGTAGTGGTGAGGGGCTCACTGTAGTGGTGGTGAGGAGCTCACTGTAGTGGTGGTGAGGAGCTCACTGTAGTAGTGGTGAGGGGCTCACTGTAGTAGTGGTGAGGAGCTCACTGTAGTAGTGGTGAGGAGCTCACTGTAGTGGTGGTGGTGAGGGGCTCACTGTAGTGGTGGTGAGGGGCTCACTGTAGTAGTGGTGAGGAGCTCACTGTAGTGGTGGTGGTGAGGGGCTCACTGTAGTGGTGGTGAGGAACTCACTGTAGTGGTGGTGAGGGGCTCACTGTAGTAGTGGTGAGGAACTCACTGTAGTGGTGGTGAGGGGCTCACTGTAGTGGTGGTGAGGGGCTCACTGTAGTGGTGGTGAGGAGCTCACTGTAGTAGTGGTGAGGAGCTCACTGTAGTAGTGGTGAGGAGCTCACTGTAGTAGTGGTGGTGAGGGGCTCACTGTAGTAGTGGTGAGGGGCTCACTGTAGTAGTGGTGGTGAGGAGCTCACTGTAGTGGTGGTGAGGAGCTCACTGTAGTAGTGGTGGTGAGGGGCTCACTGTAGTGGTGGTGAGGAGCTCACTGTAGTAGTGGTGGTGAGGAGCTCACTGTAGTGGTGGTGAGGGGCTCACTGTAGTAGTGGTGAGGGGCTCACTGTAGTAGTGGTGAGGAGCTCACTGTAGTGGTGGTGAGGAGCTCACTGTAGTGGTGGTGAGGAGCTCACTGTAGTGGTGGTGAGGGGCTCACTGTAGTGGTGGTGAGGAGCTCACTGTAGTGGTGGTGAGGAGCTCACTGTAGTAGTGGTGAGGAGCTCACTGTAGTAGTGGTGAGGAGCTCACTGTAGTGGTGGTGAGGGGCTCACTGTAGTGGTGGTGAGGAGCTCACTGTAGTGGTGGTGAGGAGCTCACTGTAGTGGTGGTGAGCAGCTTTGTTTTATTTTACCAGGTGAGGTCCCTCTTCTTCAGAAGTGAACTGGCTATCACAAATGATAGCTCGATGAAGTGGCTTATCACGTGGGAATTTACAGCAGCCAAATACTCTAAACGCGGGACATTGATTCGGGAGCGCCCTGTAGAAAAATACACGCGACCACGGGGAGAGAGAAACGCAAACTCCAAATATACAGCAGCAGCAGCAGGCGTCAGGGTCGGGATGGAGCCCACGACCTCCTGCGTACCTGGCGAGGTAGTTAACATCTCCTAGCCACCGTGATGATGATGATGAGAGAGAGAGACACAAACTCCAAATATACAGTAGCAGGCATCGTCAGGGTCTGGATAGAGCCCACGACCTCCTGCGTACCAGGCGAGGTAGTCAACATCTCCTAGCCACCGTGGTGATGATGATGATGAGAGAAAGAGACACACAAACTCCAAATATACAGCAGCAGGTGTCGGGATGGAGCCCACGACCTCCTGAGTACCCGGCGAGGTAGTTAACATCTCCTAGCCACCACGATGATGATGATGAGAGAGAGAGAAACGCAAACTCCAAATATACAGCAGCAGCAGGCGTCAGGGTCGGGATGGAGCCCACGACCTCCTGCACACCAGGCGAGGTAGTCAACATCTCCTCGCCACCGTGGCGCCCAGAAATTGACAACCGCACGAGGTTCTGATTGGCGACCATCTCGCGCGATCCCCCTCTTCAGGTATCGACAGCGATGGGGTCGGCTGACGAGCAGAGACGTCGCAGGATCCCGGGAAGCGACGACGCCACCGACGACGACGCCGACGAGGACGACGACGAGCCCAGGCTGTCGGCGCACGCGCTCGCCGCTCTGCGCGAGTTCTACGCGGAGCAGGGAGAGAAGGAGGCGGCGGGAGAGGCGGGAGCCCGGGCGGAGGACGAGGACCCGCCCGAGAACTGGGTGAGCCGCGCCTGTCGGGCGGTCAAGTGGGGAGCGGCGGTGCAGCGGTTAGCGCCGGCGCTGCTGCGTAGAAACCCGGCGACCCGAGTTGGATTCCCGCTCGAGGCCGGCACCGCCGACGATCGTCTGAACCGGTCCCGAGCCTCCCCCTAGGCCAGAGGTCGCAACCGGGTACCCGATACCCGTACCCTGCCTGATACCCGGCTACCCGTACCCGGCCGGGTACGGGTAGCCGTTTGCGACCCGAGTGCGGCCGGGTACGGGTAGGCCGTGAGTCACTGGTGAGTCACCGTTTGTCACTCATTTCCCAACGTCTTGTCTCTTCTCACAATTTAAGTTCCTAGAATCAACCCACCCGCGCCTGCAACATGGCTTCATCCCAGAGGTCGCAATCTGGTACGCGATACCCGTACCCTACTCGTACCCGGCCGGGTACGGGTAGGGTACGGGTACGGCCGGGTACGGGTACGGGTACCCGTTTGCAACCCTGGTGCGGCCGGGTATGTGTACGGGTAAGGAATCAAAACCCGTTTGCGACCTCTGCCCTAGGCCGAATCGGCTTCAAAATGAGCACCCGGTGCGGTGTGTAGACGTTGTCACTAGAAAGACAAAGGCGGCCGGGCGTGGTGTTGGCCACCCACCCACCGCCTTCGTGTGCCGTGGCGGCCTGCATAGGCTGGCAACACTTTCCCCAACAGTCTGTTCAGGTTATATGGGGGATCTTTGTCTTAGGTGGGAAGTAAAACAGCGCTGGTCCAAACAGTCTGTTAAAAGCTTTATCGGGGGGGGGGGGGGTCTATACATGTACGTGTGTGACCTCGCGCACGTGTCCACACGCACACGTGTGTGACAGACAGACCCTCATCCTGGGTCTGTCCTGTGACCTGCCAGCAGGGAGCCTTCCCCATGTCATGTGACGGACGAATGGAAGCTGTTGCTGTTATTCATATTTGCTTGCGTGTGTGTCTTTGTGTGCATGTGTGTGTGCGCGTTTCTTTGTGTGCGTGTTTCTTTTTGTGTGTGTGTGTGTGTGTCTGTGTGTGTGCCTGTGTGTGTGTGCCTGTGTGTGTACTCCGTGTGTGTGTGTACTCCGTGTGTGTGTGCGCGCTCCCGTGTGTGTGCGCTCCCGTGTGTGTGCGCTCCCGTGTGTGTGCGCTCCCGTGTGTGTACTTTCGTGTGTGTGTACTCCATGTGTGTACTCCGTGTGTGTGTGTGTGCTGCGTGTGTGTGTGTACTCCCGTGTGTGTGTGTGTGTACTCCCGTGTGTGTGTGCTGTGTGTGTCCTGTGTGTGTGTGTCCGTGTGTCTGTGTGTGTATATGTGTGTACTCCCGTGTGTGTGTGTGTGTCTGTGTGTGTATGTGTGTCTGTGTGTGCCTGTGTGTGTGTGTCTGTGTGTGTGTCCCTGTGTGTGTGTCTGTGTGTGTGTGTCCTGCGAGTAGCAGCTGAGCCAGTTCTGGTACACGGAGGAGACGGCCACGGCGCTGGCCAGGGAGGCCGTGGACGCAGCTGGGCCCCAGGGCCGGTGAGGCCGCCACACAAAGACAAAGGTCACCCCAGTAGCCCACGCAGCCTGGGGCGGCAAGTGCCGTTCAAAGTGATCCGCTGCTCAACTGAGCTCATCTCCCGCGGAGCCGGCGGCGAGGATTCCACGTTCCTATGGCGGGGGCGAGTCTGACCAACCGCTCTTGCGCAACCGCAAAGTGGTACTCTTTTTATCCACCCCGGGGGGATGATGGGATAAGGGGCCGTCCATAAATGACGTCACGTACCTGGGGGGGGGGGGGGTTTGAAAAATGTGACGTCACATCAAAATGCGCAACTTTAAATTAATATAGACAACACGTTCTACTTAATTAAATGGACTTTGTAATAAATGTTTTCTCCTACAACATCAATGTGTAGCGCCGCATTAAACACGCACTACAATGACAATAGTTTAAAGCGATTTGAAGCGTGTTTTATTTTTTTTGGCGGGGGGGCAGAGATTTGTGACGTCATATTTGAGGGGGGGGGTAAAAATCGTCCAAAATCGCGTGACGTCATTCATGGACGGCCCCTAAAGTCAACCCCCAATCGGGAATTGATCCCCCACCGATGTTGGCCGTGAGCAGAACTTGAATCCCAAACGAGCAGCTGGCGCGGTGCGTCAACGTCGGCGGAGACAGACAAGGTGGCGCACGGGACGGGGGCGTGGCGCTGGCCACCCGCCTCCTCGCCGCGGCACTTGCCCCGACGGTCTGGTGAGGCTACGCGGGGGATCTTTGCCTTTGCAGAGTGGCGTGTGTCTGCGCGCCGAGCGTGTTCCGAGCGCTCCTCCGACTGCGCAAGTCCGAGGCGGCGGCGGCGGCATTACCGGAGAAGTCCCATTGCTCCTCCTCGCTCCCGCGGGAACCGACACAGACCTCGGTATAAACATACACACTCACACTCACTCACACTCACACACTCACTCACACACACTCACACACACTCATACACACACCAACACACACTCACACTCACTCATACACACACATACACACACTCACACACACACTCATACACACACTCACACACACACTCACTCACACACACTCACTCACTCACACACTCACTCACACACACACTCTCACACACTCATACACGCACTCACTTACACACACACTCACTCACACACACTCACACATACACTCACTCACTCACACTCACTCACACACACACTCACTCACACGCTCACACTCACTCACACACTCACTCACTCACACACTCACACACACTCACACACACACTCACTCACACACTCACACATACACTCACACACTCACACACTCACACACTCACTCACACTCACACACACTCACTCACACACACACACACACTCATACACACTCACACTCACACACTCACACACACTCACACACTCACTCACTCATACACACTCACACATACACACTCACTCACACACACTCACACACTCACACTCACTCACTCACACAAAGATAAAAAGATCCCCCGTATAGCCTTAACAGACTGTAGGGGCAAGTGCTGTTAGCGAGCACCTATGAAGGCCGGAACGGTACACGAGGGGGTGGGTGGCCAGCACCACGCCCGACCGCCTTTGTCTCCCTAGTGACGATGTTTACACACCGCACCAGGTACTCATTTAAGGCTGAGTCGACCTAGGGGAGGCCCAGGACCGGTTCAGATAATCGTCACCGGTGTTAGCCGTGAGCAGGAATCGAACCCGGGTCGCCAGGTTCATAGCGCAGCGCGCTAACCGCTACACCACCGCTCCCCACACTCACACACACACTCACTCATACACACTCACACTCACACACACACACACTCACACACTCACTCACACATACACACACTCACACATACACTCACTCATACACACTCACACATACACACTCACACATACACACTCACACACACTCACTCACACTCACACACTCACTCATACACACTCACTCATACACACTCACTCATACCACTCACTCACACTCCTCACACACCATCACTCATCACACCACTCATACAACACTCCACGTCACCAATCATACACACAACACTCACATTACACACTCACACTCACCTCACACGTCACATCACATCATACCACTCACTCATACACACTCACTCACACTCACACACACTCACTCAGTACACACCACACCCACACCAACACACACTCACACACTCACGCAACACACTCGCACTACACT